CACTGGCATTAGGAACTCGACGACTCGCTCAAGTGACTCGGCGGACCAAGGGCTGACTATTGGACTTCTGGGGCATTTTTGGAAATTGGAAATTTACAAGCATGGTTCTATGGTGCATTCAGGTGGTGGAGTTGTACCGGCAATCCAAGAGCTTGAGTGTACCTTCGAGTCGACAGTGCGAGGTGAGTTACCTCACTATACTAAGGGGTCTAAGGCACCAAGGCCGGCCCATTGGATATGTTATCCTAACAGTGATTATGTTGAGTATGAGTTAGTGTTGCATGCTAGTGGTTATGCCAGTTAGGTAGATCTGTATGACTACCTGTGTTGTTATATGAATATTTGCATGCTTAGTAGTTATGTTATATGTTGATATGTTATGTGGGATGGGTTGAGGTGATACTGCTCCGTGCGGTAACCAACAAACCCGGGAGCATTCCAGATACGGGCTAAGGGAGACTTGTACTGTGGGCTCGATGGCAATCCAGATGTGAGCTGTGGGCCAGGAAGGCAATCCAGACTCACACAGTGGGCCCAATGGAAATCTAGTAGGTGGAGCATTCGAGATACGAGCTGAGGGAGACTCGTACTGTGGGCTCGATGACAATCCAGATGTGAGTTGTGGGTCCGGAAGGCAATCCAGACTCACACTGTGGGCCCAGGGGTAATCCAGTCTGTACAGTTGTGGACCCGGTACATGCTGTTATTTGTATATGTATTATGTGCTGTGTATCGGTATTTTGGGGAAACTCGCTAAGCCTCGGGCTTACAGTTTCAGTTTTATTGTTTTAGGTACATCAGGGAATCGCGGCAAGGCGAAGGCGTGATTGTACAGCTCCTCGTGTTTTATTTATGTTTCTGGGATGAACTCTGATATTAGACTATTTTGAAAACAAATTTGTAATGACTATTGGTTTTAAATGTTTTGAAAAGTTTTAAATTGGCTTGAATTTTTATGGGTGTTTCATGTAACGTCCCAAAAAAAATCATGACATAATTTTTTTTTGTTTTTAGATTAATAAATCATTAGTACAAACGAATCCCATAAAACCAAAGTAATTCAAAGTTAATCAAAACATCATCAATCAGAGTAAATCATGGAATGCGGAAACTTGTGGTGTGTGCTCTGCAATCATCCCGAGCTCTTCCAATTGAAACCGAAGTACCTGAAACATAGACTGAAAACCGTAAGCACAAAGCTTAGTGAGTTCCCCAAAATACCATACAACATACAACCACAGATAATGATGCAATACACATATAGGTGCCATGGGCTCCCCCATGGTCTTTATCTAGTATGCCATGGGCTCCCCCATGGTCTTCACATGGAATGCCATGGGCTCCCTCCCATGGTCTGATATCCAAATGCTATAGGGCTCCCCGTGGTCTTCCATGCAAGTATCATAGAGACAACTAGCATACCACATAACACGTAATGGGCCACATTGGTGCCTTCGACCCATGGATATTGTGAAAAGACTCACCTCACACTGCCGAATCACACAGACGAACCCCGACTGCTGGCTGACAGATCCCCGAACTGTCAAACATCAAAACAACACCCAATTAACAATTGGGCGCCAATGCATAACCATAAATCCATACTTGGGGTAAGAAGACTATTTTACCCCTAACCTAGCTTGGTCCAAGACCAAGGCCCAAGCTCAAACTCTGGAGGTCCACAAGCCAAATAATCAAACAAGGCCAAAGTATGGCCGAATTTTCCAAATTGGGCCCAAACCCTTTACATGAGCCTTACCTTAAAGCCCATTCAATTTTCCTAGTCCATACACTTGTTCTCAAATGGCCCATCAAGAACCCAAACACCTAAGACCAAAAGAAAGGCCCAACTCGAAGCCCAAACACAATTAGGGTTTTCACATAAAATGACGATTAGGGTTAAGTAAGAAAACTTAACCCATTAAGGACTTAATCCATTAAGCCCATCACTCTACTAGGTCAATCATACAATGTGGTCAGGCATAACTCATAATTCCAACCCAACGGTCCAAAATGCGGGTCCCGGCAGGTCCCAAGCAAAAGTCTCCAAGATTAGGGTTTTCTAAACAATAATGACAAAAGAATTCCAAACACCAGTCCAATCACGCACATAAACACACAACCACCGGAGATGGTGGCTAATAGTGACAAAACGGTGGCAACCCGAGGTGGTGACGGTGAGTTTTCCTTGGTTTTTCCGGCCCAATATTGCTCATACAACAACACAAATACCAAAAACAATATATATACTCGAACACTCATACACTCAGCCACCTACTAGGCAGCTGACGACGTCGGAAAAGACAAAAACAGCGGCCAAAGGCCATCGGTGGCAACAATGACATACCTGACACCGAACATATAGGGAGGAAAGAAAAAGTGAGACGCGGTTAGCCTTACCGAGTGCCTTCCAGTCGCTCACGACCCACAGGTGGTAGGGTGACGGTCGGTCTCGACAAGGCAACGGCGACCGAGAAGACTCCATAATGGCGGCGACTGGTCAAATGAAACTTGGTTTAGTGTTTGCATTAGGAAAACACAGGGGAAGGGGGCACCGGGTTTATCCAATGTCTCATTCAAACGTATTACATTTTTTTCAAGTTTGGTCCCTCTCCACAAGATCTTTTTCAAACTAAGCCCCACAAATTACCAAACAGCCCCCAACATCCAAAATTCATCACAATTCAAGTCCAATTATTTTAATATAGAACCCCAAAACTCCAAAAATTATATCATTTAACTTCTCATGGCTAACACTGATAAATTATTACGGATTTAGGACTATTATTTAATTATTAATTTTATCTATTTATTATTTTTAACGGAATGTTATAGATTGTTCTTTATCAAAAGATTTGTAGGGCAAACTCATTTAACGATAAGGTGACGTAGAATCTTAGTTGACATATTTTTAAATGAGGCGAGCTTAAAACCTAGTGACTAGGACAGGGTTTATCGGCTCACCCCTTCGGTTTGAACATAATGACTTTAAGAATAGGTAAATTAATAAGTTGTTCCCCTAAAATGCAAAATAAAAAAAAGACCTTTTAAATCATAACATGTAACATGGTTGGGCTACAGTGATATTACCCAACACTTAAAGACTTTTATTTCATTTGCCCAAAAAGCTATAATTAACAAAATCTTATTCTAAATTAATCCTTACTAATGGACTTATAGCCTAACGGTATCCGGTGTTGCCTCCCTTATTGAGGTTGACGATTTAAGTCATGTCGTGGACATAAATATATTTAAGAAATGAATTTAAGGAGTTGTTTATGAGTAGGTTAGATTTACCGTTAAAAAAAATTTAACAGATCTCTATATCGGATCATGGTCCAATCGGTATCTGGTGTTGCCTCCCTTATTGAGGTTGATGATTTAAGTCATGTTGTCGACATAAATATATTTAAGAAATGAATTTAAGGATTGGTTAATGAGTAGGGTAGATTTACGGTTAAAAAATAAAGGGTAAATTACACGAATGGTCCCTGTGGTTTGGGGTAATCTGCGTAGTTGATCCTTAAGAAGAATTTTTAACTCGGACAGTCCCTATTGTTTGGTTTTGTTGCGTCGTTAGTCCCTATTTGACCTAAAAATGACTTTTTTACCCTTATTAATTTCTTTTTTAATTTGTTTATTTATTAATTTTTATTTATAATTTATAATTCTAAAAACAAAAATACCCACCCACCACAACTTCACTGGTTCATTCCTATCCCATTGCTCTCTCTCTCTCTCTCTCTCTCTCTCTCCCTCTCTCTCTCTTTCTCTCTCTCTCTCTCAAATCAATGAAAACGTAGAAGTCCTAGACCAAGCTTCCGACAACCTCCACAACCCCTCCGGTAGCCTCCACAGTCCTCTGCCACCTGAAAAAAAAGGCAGGACCAATACAACCAACTCGTCTTCTTCCCCCTATGCTAAAAGATCAGGTGACAATCAAAATAAAATCAAACCTGTTAGTAATGAAAATCAAACTCGAAGGAAATTGAAACCAAAATCGATGTTAATCAAAACTGGATTTGGTGATAATCAAAACAAAATCAAACGATCAAGATGAAAATCAAAATCAGAATCCGATTCATGAGGTTGTTGAAACGATTTTCAAACAAGGTGTAAAATCAAAGTAAGCTCCGATTCACATGGTTTCTAATACAAATGCCAATGGTTGGGGTGGCTCTAGTTCACTTTAGACACCGGCGATTTCAATCGGGAGTTTCAACGGTCCCTTCACCCTATGAATCACCAGTTTCAGTGAGAAGAGAAGGATGTTAGGGTTTTTGATATAAGGTGTCGAAAGTAAGGGATAAATGGGTGGGGTGAGCGACGGGGTGGGTTTAAGGACAACCCATCAGACTCTCTATTTTCTCCGGCTTCCTCCCCCTTCTCCGGCGATCTGGTTTCTGTAAGCTTTTCCTGATCTGATTTCTCCGACGATTTTCTTCCGGTTTGATTTCCACATTGCTTCAGATTTGTCAGTTTTTATTCCTGGTTCCTTCGACGTTTTTTTTTCTGGTGGAGGTTTTACGACAGCCTTGCTGAAGAAGAAAGAAAGGTTGATGGTGGTTGGGTGGAGGATTACCGGAAGAAGATGGTGAACGGCGGGAGGAGTGAAGGGGTGGGTTGGATTAGAGGAGGAGGTAATGTAATTATGTTTTTCAATAATAATAATAATAATAATATAAATAGTGAAAATAAGAAATAATTATTAAAATGAATTTTAAATATAAAAAATAACAGTAAGGGCAAAACAGTCTTTTTAAGAGTGGTAGGGACCAAATACGCAACAAAACCAAACAATAGGGACCGTCCGAGTTAAAATTTTTTCTTAGGGACCAACTACGCAGATTACCCCAAACCACAGGGACCATTCGTGTAATTTACCCAAAAATAAAATAAAATTTAACAGAACTCTTTATGGATCATGGTCCAATCCGTTCAACCAACGAGATCGACCCATATTTTAAAACAGTGGATATAAATGACAAAATGTATGTGGAATTTAGACCAAGGTCCAAAGCATCAATTGTCGCCATCCCTTCAAATTAGGGTTCTTCACGTGTTTGTTTTTAAGGATTCTCCATTTATTCCTTTTTTTCTTCATCCTAATCGTCGATCGAAACCCTAACATTTGTAGAATTAGATAACGATGACGGGAAAAGCAAAGCCAAAGAAGCACACAGCGAAGGAAATCGCTGCGAAGGTGGACGCAGCGACGACCAACAGAGGCGGTGGAAAGGCCGGAGTTGCTGATCGCACCGGCCAGGTGAAAGGCGGTCATGCTAAGTATGAGTGCCCTCATTGCAAGATTACCGCACCGGATGTTAAAACGATGCAGGTTCATCATGATGCTAAGCACCCTAAGATTCCCTTTGATGAATCTAAAATCAGCAACCTCCATGCCATCCTTGCACCTGTTGCTGATACATCGAAACCTCGCCCTGGTGTTCGTGGCAGCCTCAAGAAGTGAATTTCTCGATTATTGCTATTATGGGTTTATTATGATAAATTGACCACTTTCGATAATGTTTCCTGGCTGTTTGATTTAGATTGTAGTTCTAGTCCCTTGTCAAATGCATGATGATGTTTGTGGGTGTATGGTTAAAATGCTATGTTATGAGTCATGTCTTATGCTTGCTTTATAGCCGTCTGATCTTGCTTTTATTGGTTTTCTCTATAGATTTTGATCATGCCAAGACTTTTCTCCATCTTTAGTTTCGATCTCTCTGATTGCTAATTCACATGATTATTTTGAGTTTGTTTTGTATACCTACTACTAGCATGTTAGTATCCTCTTCAAGCATATGTGATATAGATGTTGTGTCTTGTTTAGCGTATAAATCCATGTGCATCTTTTGCTGCTTTTGAACATTTAGTTATAACTCTAACCAGATCTTAGTGTTTTGTTCTTGGAAGAACAGAAATATACACTTTATGTCATGCAAACTTGTTTCTGCACATTTCTCTTAGAATCTTTGCCATTTGCTAGGATTATCTGTGCGTGTATATCTTTTGGTATGAAGTTGGATATGAGAGTCTAATCTAGGCACTTATTGCTTGCTGTTGCTGTTTAATGTCTGCATAGTCCATATGTATGTGTATGTTCTGGAAACTCTACCTTATGCTAATTCTGTATGAAGTTGCATTTTGACATTTAATAGAGGCAAATATTTATTGGTGTTTGCTCAAGTTTCCATTTCAATATAGTATTTTGAACAAATGTTATTATGATTACTAGAATATTGCAAATTTTGGGGAATTCTTGGTGTTTATGCATCTAAAAGTGCATGGTTCTTGTTAAAATGGTCTAGGAAACAGATCATAGTTTCTGTAGATAATTATTGATCTGTCAAAAAGGATTAGATGCCTTCTGATAATCTTCCCAAGCGATTTTAGTGTGAATGTAACCTTTTTTTTTTTTAAATGTAAATAAGTGAATACTTTTATTTTTGAAAACCAGTATATGATTTAGGACTGGATTCCTATACTTGTGTGCTTTAAAACTAGCACATAGTACATACATTGTTTACTGGTTATTAACCAAAATACTTGATTAAGTTAGTTTCTTGATTAGCATATTGGTTTGACTATTTGGTAGGATGAGAATATGATTTGGAGTTGTAAGGGCGATGATGGAAATGGAAATGGTTTTGTGTTCTAAATTCTTGATGGTTTTATATAGGAATGAAAAGATGCCTGAGAAGTGAAGGGGGGCAAAGATATCAACAAGAAATGGTGGGGTATGATTTTTTAATCAGCTTTTTGTTTGTGTGTTATAATATGCTTTGTGTGTTATTTTAATTTTTAGTCATTTTATAATATAAAAAGAATAAAAAAAATCAATAAAAGGTAGTTTATTCATTTTTATGTCTTACATATTCTAATTGCTTTAATAAATTTGCTAACTAAATAGAAACCAACAACTTATTTCATTTGATTACATGTCAACCAAACGTATTATATAAACTTCAAATTTGGTCCTTGTGGTTTTCAAAAACCTTTGGATGGGGTCCAAAATGTTTCCAGCTTGCATGGAAGGTCCAAAATCAAGGTTTTTTTTGGGTTTTTGGTCCAAAAAAAACTTAAAAAGACGATTATGCCTTTTTATTTTCTTTTTTGTATTTTTTATAATTATTCTAATGCTGTTTTAATTAAAAAATAAAGAAAAAAGAAAAAAAAAATCCCCATCCCCCCCCCCCCCCCCCCCTCTCTCTCTCTCTCTCTTCGTCTTCTCAAAAATCTCATGGAATTCATCTCTGATATCCCCAAATTGATGAACAAAATCCAAAATCAAGCAATAGAAAGAAATTGAAACCCAAACACAAAGACACACATTCTAACGCAAAGCACCCACATCGATTGGAAACAATCTCATCACAGTGAGTCTCTTGTCTCGATCGGACGAAGCAAATAAGAGGGGGAAGGCAATCACCTTCAAATTAGAGTGGTGGCTGGACAGAGAGGGTCGACGGAAGCAGCATTCGGAGGTGGCGATGGTTCACAGCAGTGGCAGCAACGAGGTGGAGGTCGGTGACGGGTGGCAAGCGATAGCAGCTCCGCTGTCTCATTCCCTTTGCGTCTGGCAACAACAATCGAGATGGAAGAAGAAGGGGGAAAAACATAACAAACACAGCAACAACAAATTTCTTGGAGTCTAATTCTGAAACTCACAAGAACATATATACACACAGATTTCTTGATTTCTTCTAAAATTCCCTTTTTTTGGACCTCCGATTTTGGATTTGCGTGTTCTTGGACCTCCGATTTTACTCTGTAACTCAACTAAATCAAGACCTTCATCCATGTTCAAAAACCATTACAAAACTGCAACTAAATCAAGACCAAGACCCATAAATTCCATGAAATCAAACCCAATGAACTTAAATCACCACATCCAACCCTTGACCTTCAACATCGAATCAATAAATCAAAGCTCTCCACCCAGAAATCGAACCATTGGACGTCTACAGTTGCATCGTGGGTAAGGGGCGAGGCTGTGAACTTCTCAAATTCAGTAGTACCCATGGATTCGCTCCAGAAACTCATTGGAAAGTACATCATTAAGAGACTAGACAGTGAACTTCTCAAGCGATGGAGAGAGAAAAGGGGCGAGTGAAGAGTAGGTGATGGAGAGGGTGAGAAAGAAGAAAGAAAGAAAGAGTTCAGGCAGATCATGTAAGGAAGAAGTCAAGAAGACGGAGGCATGTGGGATGTAGCCGATGGACAATGAGAGAAAAGGCCGAGAGGGTTAGGAAAATACAGTAACGGGTTTTTTTGACTTTCTTGAGAGAGAGAGAGAGAGAGAGAGAGAGAGAGAGAGAGAGAGAGAGAGAGAGAGAGAGAGAGTTTGGGTGAGATTTTATTTTTTATTTTTTATTCTTAATTATTTAAATACCAAAATAAATAAAGAAAATATAAAAAAGAAATGAAAAGCGCAAAATCGACTTTTCAAGTGTATCAGGGACCAAAAACCCAGAAAAACTTTGATTTTGGATTTTTCATGTAAGTTGGAAACTTTTTGGACCCTATCCAATGTTTTTTGAATACCACAGGGACCAAATTTGCAGTTTTGTCTATTTATATATTCAAATTTCTTTGGATTCCATTTCCTTTCTAGAGACAATGCGACCTAAATGCTTATTTAGTATCCAATTAAATGTATCAAAAAATTGGCTAATAAAATACAACTATTTTAATAAATGAAAATCTTTTTAACACATGTCACACTCTCATTGATTTGGCCACATATCATTTTGTGGTTATTTTCAGTTAAATTTTTTCCACATGACATTTTGTGATTTTTTTCATTTTATCAAATTTCATATAATACTTAAATGTAATAATTATAATAAATATAATAATAAATAAATATCAATTTCATTAATTGACTTTCCTTTTAATTTTAAAATTTGTAAATTAAAACCTTATTATTTTCCTTTGTTTATTTATCTAAATTATTTATTTAAATTAAAAAAAACACATTAATTTTAATTTTAATAATTCAATATTTTTCTAATTTTCTTATAAATTCAAACTTTTAAATGTTTATAATTTCATATTTAAATTTTCTATTAAATGAACCAATGTAATACATGGATTTTGCACCTAGTTGCTTTAATAAATTTGCTAACTAAATAGAAACCAATTATTTCATTTGATTACATGTCAACCAAACGTATTATATATTTATATATTCAAATTTCTTTGGATTCCATTTCCTTTCTAAAGATTATGTGAATTAAATGCTCTTTTAGTATCCAGTTAAATATATAAAAAAATCGGCTAATAAAATACATTATACATCATAAATCGTCAAAATACAAATTTTAATCAAGAGTTAAGTTATCATTTTGTTAAGTCTATGTAAGATCATCATCATCGGTGAGTTACCGTGACATCCTAAATTCACTGTCATTTTAAAAATTTTATTTATGTTTATTTGAGAATCAAAGTATTTATTTTTAAAGAATAATATTGCGGAATTGTTTCCAGAAAAACATGATAAATATATAATCAAAACATTTCAGAAGAAATGTATTTTGTTTATATTAAAACTTTGGGGTGTCATCGTCGATACAGAAACATAAGCATAAACAAATCTTACATTCATTTACACTAGTGATCTACATCTTCTTTAATCTCTCAGTGTAATGTAGTTTCGTATCGACACTTGTGATACAAATAAACTGAATGGGTCAGGTTGGGAAACCTGGTGAGTACATAGGGTTTTCAACCAACAATAATAAAGTTATTATGTTCCATCAGCAAACAATTAACCAAATTAGTCATCCCCATTATCTTTTGTATTTCTTAAGGATCTACCCTAAGAATCATTTATCATTCACTCATTTATTCCTAAGGATTGTCCTAAGGAATAGACATGAAGTCCATCGCTGCCAAGGTTTATTTAACAGGTACTAAGTCCATAGTTGCCGATGTTATTTGTTAGACACTAAGTCCATAGCTGCCAATATCTATTTATAGGGCACTAAATCCATAGCTGCCAACGTTCATTTGTAAGACACTAAGTCCATTGCTGCCAATGTTCATTTGTAAGACACTAAGTCCATAGCTGTCGGGGTTTATCTATTTGGCACTAAGTCTATAGCTGTCAGGGTTTATCTATCAGACACTAAGTCCATAGCTGCCATTGTTCATCTATATCATCTTTCATCTCTCATCATTCATCTACCCATCTTTACCCAATATTTTTATAGGTATAAAATACATATACAGTTTAAATCAAATAAAACATGTATATTTTGTTCATCCAGCATAGATGTCAAGAACACAGATAATATACACACATAGTACGTAATTTATATTACATATATATGTGTAAGATGAAAGTAACTATGCACTCACTTGTTAAAGTGATGATTCCAAACTCGGGCAGCGCTTCGCTTCTAACAATTCTATTTTCCTTCGGAGAAACCTAGTATCATTACCGCTAGATTTTTGTCTAATATTTATAGCGACTATTTACGAGCGACATTGTTTTATAAGTGTTAAACAATACTTTTCAACCACTATGTACAGACAGGGCCAGACATGAAACACCGGAGGGCAGGACCATTTTGACATTATAGCACTTTTGAAATCCAACAACCCTATGCGACCCTTCAAACCAGATTCTCCGTACCGCGAGTAGTTAAAAGATATTATAATAACACTTTGTATATTATATTTTATAATATATTTATGGTTTATAAGTTCATAATAACGATATTGAACTTAAACATAATGTCACGGGCTGATATGCCGTGACCGTGTTGACCAAGAAGACAAAGACCATGCCACTGGAATAGCTTGCCATTGTGTCACGGGCTGATATCCCGTGACCGTTTTGACAAAGAATACAAAGACCATGCCACTGGAATAACTTGCCATTGGGTTTAAAAGGGGGCGTCCTAGCCCATGGGACGTTGTTATGCTAGTCGTTGCTGTCTGGCCGAGTCGTTGAAGTGTGTGACAATGAAGGGGGCCGTAGCGTTCTAGAGATACAACTGGTCGGGGGCTAGTGCCGCTTCCCTGATGATCCCATGGCAGGGCGAAACCAGTTGGCATGTGTAAGATGGGAGGGCTGGTATCGGGGTTTTATGGGGAACCTCGGTACGCCGCACGGGCAAGGAGTAATGCCGAACTTGCGTCCGTGACAAGTGGTATCAGAGCCTAACGATGAAGGGACATGCCAGTATGATCGTGCATAATCGTGGGGTCTGTAGAAGTATGGACTTGCTGGTGGGTTGCTGCGAAGTCAAGAGCAATACACCGATGAATGCACTACCTCCTTGAAGGAAGTAATGGGGGTGGGCACATGTCGGGGATTCCGACTTCGAAGTACAAAGGTTGGGATCCAGTGTAGCAGTACGCGATCATACTTAGCATCAGAAGAAAGACCATTTTGAAAGGACAAAAGTTCTTCTTCCATCGCATGGGGACGTGCGGCAATTTTGCAGTGGGAGAGTGTCACGGACTGATATCCCGTGACCGTGTTGACCAAGAAGACAAAGACCATGCCACTGGAATAGCTTGCCATTGGGTTCAAAAGGGGGCGTCTTAGCCCATGGGACGTTGTTATGCTAGTCGTTGCTGTCTGGCCGAGTCGCTGAAGTGTGTAACAATGAAGGGGGCCGTAGCGTTCTAGAGATACAACTGGTCGGGGCTAGTGTCGCTTCCCTGATGAGCCCATGACAGGGCGAAACCAGTTGGCATGTGTAAGATGGGAAGGCTGGTATCGGGGTTTTATGGGGAACCTCGGTACGCCGCACGGGCAAGGAGTAATGCCGAACTTGCGTCCGTGACAAGGCTATACTCTAGGGTAAGTATAACTCACTTACTAGGAGGTTTGGCTAGGAATCGGGCTCTGCGGGGGCAGAACTTCCGAGCCGAAAGCTCTTCTTCTCGAAGCCTTCTGGCGTTCCGGGATTTGCCTCTTAGCACTTGGGAAGTACTAAGGCTCGGGAGGGGCTTAGAGAGATGTTTGAGAGAGAAAGAACGGGAGAGGTGGAAGGAAATAGAAGATTTGCGCCTCTATTTATAGGCTGGGAAATGGCCCAACTCGACGAGTTCGGAGCCTCCAACTAGTCGAGTTGAGTGCCAAGTGGCACCATCTGGTGGGCAAGGCGTGGGGAGGAAGCAATGGTCAGGATTGTGCCACGTGTCACTCACAAATTACTCCAAAAAATAATTATCTCATAAAATCCGTAACTTTCGCATACGAGCTCCGTTTTTGACGTTCTTTATATCCACGCGTAGGTGGAGACATACTCTATAACTTTCATTTACACTCCGTCGGCTAATTTTGATTTTATTTTTAAAATTATATTTAACAGGCTTAGACATGTAAAGTCCGTTAAAAATTCATAACATCGTCACCCGACATCCGTTTTCGTCTGTCTTTATATCGTTGAACTCCTATTAAAGAGATCTTTAATTCTTGTTTAGATTGTGTCTGCTAAAAATCGATCGATCTAAAATTCGAATGTCGGGCTGTGCACTGCTTTGCTAAATCTTAGAAAAATCATAACTTCCTCATACGAAGTCAGATTTTGACGTTCTTTTTATGCACGTTCTCGGTTTAACGTATAATACAACTTTCATTTAGATCGCTAAGGCTAAAAAGTATTTAAACCCAAACTCACTTTTTACGATGTCCGGTGTCGTGCCGGTTTTGCTGTAAAACTTCGACGAGTCATAACTTCTTCGTTATAACTCGGATTTCAGCGTTCTTTATATGTATGGAACCCTTGTGACATATACTATAACTTGGTTAAGATTATTTATTCTAAATAATATTCTAATCAAAAAGTCATTTTTGACGCTCATTGTCTCTAAATTGACTAGCCCGAATCTATTGGCGTTACAGTTATTTGTCTGGTTGATCGTAAAGATATATTAAAAAAAGATAGAGTAAATTACACGAATGGTCCTTATGGTTTAGGGTAATTTGTATGTTTGGTCCCTAACTTACTTTTTTAACTCGGAAGGTCGTTACTGTTTGTTTTTGTTACGCGTTTGGTCACTGTCTTACCTAAAAAGACTATTTTGCCATTGATTTTTTTAATTTATTTAACTAAACACACCCCAACTTCATCCCCCTCACCTTACCTTACCTATCCCACCATTTTCCCTATTTAAATAATAGTCTTTTTAGGTAAGACAAGGACCAAGCGCGTAACAAAAACAAAAAGTAGGGGCCAAACGTGTAACAAAAACAAATAGTAGAGATCTTTCGAGTTAAAAAAATAAGTTAGAGTCAAGCGCACAAATTATCCAAAACCATAGGGACCATTCGTGTAATTTACTCAAAAAGATATTTGCTAAAACCAAGAAGAAAATGGTCAAATACAATTGGAAAAATGACAGCAACTACTTTACTATGTATTTCGATTTTGCACATTCAATCCCTAAAGTTATTTTTGAGTCTTTTAAGAGAACAAAGTGTTTAGTGACCTGTTCATCTACTTCGCTTAACTTTTTTTAGCCGGTTAATAGACAAATGACTGCTTTTACTTAATTAAATGACGTAGTTTCATGAGGTTTATTACCTAAGGTTAGGTGATTATATATATATATATATATATATATATATATATATATATATATATATATATAGGTTTTAACCTCATCTCTTTGTCTACCCAGTTACAAAAAGTTTCTCGATCCTCCGGTGAGTCCAGTACAAAACCTTTACCAACACAGCATGCAAATTTACCTCGCTCCAAGCTCCTCTTTATGAACTCTATGGCCATACACCTTCAGCTCCCATTCTATAGCATGACAATTTGAGTGCAACTTATCTGTCTACCAATCCTATCTTCCATGCTCACATAAAGTACCTGGAAATTGATTTCCACTTTATTACAGAAAAGTTGTTGAGGGGAGTTTTCATGTACAATTTACATCCACAAACGATCAGACATGTTCACAAAACCATTGCCAACTCCTAGATTTTTCATCCTATGGTCCAAGCTACACGTCGTTGACCGCCCTTAGCTTGTGGGGGCGTATTAGAAAGGGTTAGCCATGTTTATAATAATCTTCGTGTAGAGGGTACCTATATGTAACTTTTATCTATAGAGATCCCTTGTACCTCATTCTATACAATCAATATACAATACATACTATGGTTTATTATTGTATTTGTACAAAGTGAAAAAAATCCCATCAAAGTATGATGTTTCAGCTAAAAGAACAATGAACTGACCTCTTATTCATCAAGAACATGAATTGCTAAGATACAAAACAACAACTATCATCATGATTCATGAACCAAATGCCACTACACAGCTAAACAAGCTTCAAGCCAAACCAACATCAATAACTTTGGAGGTCCTAACACGTGTACTGCTTTGTTCTTCGAGTCCTAACCACTTGCGTATGTATTCAAATACGGTTTCATCTCTTAATAGTGCCCGATGAGCACCGGGTATTCCCACCCTTTCTATTGCTGGGAATCCATCTGCCTGTACATGTAGATGATGGTGTTTTCAGTTCCAGGATATGACACAAACTTTTGGTTGAATTTGTTAAACATCATGTACATAGTACATACACACATATTACATATGAAATAAGGTAGGAATAGTGAGTACCCTTGCTGACTCAGCGGGAACTGTTGCGTCTCCATCCACACATGAGTATTCAGGCTGCGAAAAAGAAAAAAATGAGCAATAAACAAAAGTTAAGATCAAATTTGCCCCAGGCTCGAGTCTAAGACCTCGTTCCCACATTCTTATTTATTGCTAGTGCAAGCATGTGGGGATAATTAGGATATATGTCAGATATATCCTAATTATTAATAGGAATAGGAGGATTTGAATGACTTACTAATGTATGGCATATCTCAGATGGGTCAATGACTGGATCAGTTTCAGACCCATAACTGCAAAATAGTATTCGTTTGAGCACAAGCAAGTTTTTAATCACAAAACACAACATAACACAGAAGCATTTCATTCTCCCCATTTATGCAACAGAGTAGTTTTTCAAGTTTCATTCCTAGACCAAAATATTTAACAACTTATCTGTAAATTCTTTAATTGGTTATAATTTTGGTACATAACTTGTGTCGGTTGCATAAACATGTAAAAGTGAAACATAGTAGCAACACATACCAAACATCAAAAGGGGTATCCAATGATGTTCCATAAATGTTATAAAAATCAATCCCTTGGGGAAGCTGCACACTGTTTAGCATCTTGCGTGTAGTAGCTGCCCATTTGTAGATGGAAGAATTGAATGGCAAAGGTATTGTCTTCTTGTTGTACTCTATCTGTCAAGCTTACACAAAATCACTCAGATTATGTTGTTGACTCGTTTTTGGGACATATGTAAATTACCTCATTGCCCTTCAATGCTTCTTCAAACAGCCCCACACAACCAGATGTGTCATAAGTTTCCAGTTTGGCTGAATCTTGTCCGTTTTCTGAACGGTTTCTCCATACGAAAATTTCAGGTTGCTTTTTCCATTGGAACTCGGGATTTGGGAGCATCTCATATATTGATGGGCATTCCACCAACTGAAAACACAAAAGGAGAGAACTGAATCGCCTTCATTTTTATAGCTAATGAATCTTTTGTTTCAAGTCACGATTATTTTAAAACAGGAGATGAATGACAAAAAAAAAAAAAAAAGAATACCAGTTGATGCATTGACCACCTTGACACAAAGAAGTAGCTTTCAAGTCCCTCCACAAACTGTAATCCGGTTAACAGAGAATCATTGACATATCCGGGTGCACCTTGGAAAGGGGTTGCAATGGTTATCCATTTTTTCACATACTTGGAAAATGCCTATATTATATATTATATATACAAAGTTTATATTAATTCATCACATATACGCACAATGAAAAAAATAAATAAAAAGTTCATTGGGTGTGTGTTCATACATCGGAATGGAGGGATATGAAACATGATACTAGCAACCCACCCATGGAGTGTGATATAAGGTTGACTTTTCTACCCCCTGAAGCCTTATATGCAGCCTCCAGCTTTTCCTTGAGACCATCCATGGCCTGCTCAATTCTGCCAATAATACATGACAATATTTTTTTTAAACACATGTCCAAACAAACCCCTTAATTACCAAACACTAAAGTTATCTCTACCTATTGCTTTGGCGGAAGTCATATCCATATCCAAACAATGTTGTTCCTTTCTTGTATCCACACTTAATAAGCATGTCGATCATGTCATGAAAATGGTATACATCCGTCACTTGTAACAATTTTATCCACTGAAAACTCGGAATATACAAATAATATATAAATTCTTGTCTGCCTTTGATAGATGAAAGAATAAATAATAAATAAAACAGTTTTTTTTTTTTTTTTTAAAATCTCCAATATGGCGAAAACAGAATAGATGATGCTACTGAACTTACAAATGAGGGATCTAAAATATCGATAGCATAAAGCCCATAATCATCTTGTGGAACCACAATATCAGAACTATCATCCAGTTCTTCTGTGTACCCTGAAAATCCAAAAACACATCAACTTCTATCATAACTAAAGGGATGTTTTATTTATTTATTTTATTAAGTTCTGAATGAGTAAAATGAATGAACAGGAAAAGAAGCCTGGCGGGAGAAAGTGTTGCATACAGGAAGTATGTTTTTTTCTTCTAAACCAATGATACTAAATGATTATTTCATCCTAAGATTCCTAAAGGCAAATTTCACAGTATTTATTAATTATAACAATATTCATCAATCTTGATGAGAGGAGTTGGGAGCAAAAAAGAAGGGAAAATAGGTAAATTGGTCAGTATCTTAATACGTTAAGCCAGGTTACTTTTGACTTAATCCATTAAGTCATTCTATCCAGATTAAGACAAAAAAAAATTACGTCCCCAGTTGTCCAAATTAAGTGCTTATAACGTCTATCAAAAAGCAACAACCAAGCAGCTAAATTGATTTGATCAATACAACCAAACCAACTATTGCTAATGAGATAATTAATAATTCACTTGCCTGCTATCTAACCATTTTCCATAACAAATAAATTCGATTCCATTTCATTAACAGGAAAAAATCAGATTGATTCATAAAAATACAGAAAATTGACGTGTAATTAGAAGCTTATAATTTTTTGGTTTCAAACCCAATTAGAATATTAGCAGCATTTATGAAATGTTTAACAATTAAAGACCATAAAATAAACAAAAAAGATTTTAGCGAGAAAGAGAATGAACCAGTATCGGGATTGTAGAGGGACCAGACTCTCTTTCGGAACTCCATATCAGCAAGAAGAATACGGACCCAAACACGGGTCGTAAGCCCGAACCAGCCCTTTGGCTTCGAATTCAGAATACTCCCACCAACACCACTCACCAGAAGTATCGGGTCAAGATCAGACACATCCTCACCGGAGCTCCTCCGATCACCGAAGCACCACCAGTTTCCACCTACCATTTCTTAATTCCTCCGCTGCTCCTTTGGGGAATGTAGCACGTTATGTGAGTATAAATCCTAGAGAAGTAGTATATATATATATATATATATATATATATATATATATATATATATATATATATATATATATATATATATATATATATATATATATACACGAAAGGAAGTAGAAAATTGTAGCCGGAAGAGGATTTGCGCTGACTTCATGATTTGATCTCGAAATAATATTCGGTTGCCATATTCTTTGGATTCTTCAATTTACGTCTCTCCCTTTTTTTTTATTTTATTTTAGGGATAATGACTTAAAAGGTAATATATTGGTTTTGTACACATTTAGTTCCTGACTTTTTTTTGTCCACATTTTACCCTTGAACTTGTTGTTGTGTATAGATTAAGTCCTTATTACCGGTTGATGCCGGTTAAGCTGGTCATTTTGTGTTTTACGGGAGTTTAAGAAAAATGAATTTAGTTACGTGGCAATTACGTGACAATTACCCTCTTTCACCCTCATTTATGAAAAAACCTCATTTACAAACGAAGATCAGTTAGGGTTCTAGTGTCTTTATTCTCACAATCCGTTCTTGCTCAGTGCCTCATTTACTCACCCTTCTCTGCTCTCAAAACACCATTCTGATTCAATGGAGGAAAATCAAGCTTTTCTAAAAGTCGATTTACACTATAATGGTACTTTTATGCCTAATCCATTAGTGTATTTTGCTCCAGAAGTACTATGACTGAATGAAGATGCAAACGAGTTTGTTTTCTCTGATTTCATCAAATATGTTGAGAAGCTTATCGATTTTCAGTGCAAGCATGTGTATTACTGTATACGTGAAGTGAGATTGAGTGAGGGGCTCCAAACACTACAAAATGAATGTGACTACTCTGAGTTTCTTGAGGTTGCAAATGCTAACAGACATGTGGATGTGTATATTGACCATGATAATGAACCTATATTTGAGTGGATTCAGAAAGAAGAACCAGACGATGAAGAACTTGTGTATTCAGAAGAAGATGTCGACTCTGTTTTGGCAGATGATGAGAACTGTGAACATGAAGAGGATGAATCTGTTACATCAAGCAAAAGAATCTTCAAAAGAACCTATAATGATAAGTTTTTGAACAAGTTATGTCCAGTAGTTGTTGCAGATGAAGATGAAGAAGGCAATGAACTTCCAGCTGTCTACCCTAGGCATGATGCTACTCAGGAATGGAGGAAGATGAAGCCTGAACTAGGTATGAGATTCTCTTCTCCTGCTGAACTTAAGTAATCTCTCAGTAACTATGCAGTTGCACATGGATACGACTTGTATTATGAGAAAAATGACAAGGATAGGTTGCTTGTAAAGTGTTGTAAAGGAAAAAGACCACAATGCCCTTTTAGACTGTGGGCTTCCTGGATGAAAGATGAGCAAACATTTCAAATAAAGTCCCTCATAGAAGACCATAGTTGCTCAAGGACATTCAAACTTGGGTTAATTGTTACCTACAAGTGGATAGGGAAACAGTTTGTCACTGATATTTTGGAGTCCCCTAAAATGAGTCTGAGGAAGATGAAAGCTATGGTATCCAAGTTATTCAACATAAATGTTAGTGTTGGACAATGTAGGAATGCAAAAAAGATTTGCATTGTGTGAAATTGAGGGTGATTTGTAGGGGTGATCATGGTGCGGTTTGGTGCGGTTTTAAGGCCAAACCGAACCGCAAACCGCATGGTGCGGTTTTTGTATTCTTAAAACCGTTGGGTGCGGTTTTGCAATGGTTCGGTTTTCCGGTTTTTAAATGTGGTTTCGGTTTGTATCGGTGCGGTTTCGGTTTTAAACCGTGTTTAGAATTTGAAACAGTTTTTTATATTTTTTGGTGCGGTTTTTTAAAACTGTAAGAACTGAAAACCATATGCATGTAAGTTTTTTATTGTGCTGTTTTTTTTTAAATCATTCATTTTCAACTCAAAACAAAAATACATAAAAAAAACTGTAAGTCGCTTAAAATATAACTTGTGACTACTCAAAACTAATTAATAATTGAAGGTTGGTTGATTTTGACATAATTTGTTACAAGCTTATTACATGTAATCAATTAGTACGTTTAGCTAACAATAGAACATTTCTTTTGCACCCCATATAGTCTTACAAAAACACAAAATAAACATATAATAAATATATTATCGTTTATAAGTATTTTAAATAGCATGTATATAATATACATTGATTGATTTATTACTATACACGCTTGCGGTGCGGTTCGGTTTTGGTGGACCGGTTTTTTGGATATAAACCACACCGAACCGTTGACCTTTGGCTTTTGCAAAAATTAAATCAGCACCATTGGTTTTTGCATCGGTTTCGGTTTTTCGGTTGCGGTTTATTGCGGTTTTGTCGGTTTTTCTTTAGTCGGTTCGGTTTTTGCTCACCCCTAGTGATTTGAAGGATCATTATTCCAAGTTATGGGATTATGGAGCTGAGATTAAAAGGGCCAACCCAGGATCTCATGTTGAAGTGTATGTGCAGCCCCAAAGTAATTCTACTGTGGTGTTTGAAAGGTTTTATGTGAGTTTTAAAGGAGTGGTTGATGGCTGGTTAGATGGGTGTAGGAAGGTTATTGGGATAGATGGATGTTTTCTGAAGGGCATATGTAAAGGTGAGCTCCTCTCAGCAGTAGGCAGGGATGGCAACAATAACATATACCCAATAGCCTGGGCAGTAGTAAATGTTGAGAACAAGAGTACATGGAAGTGGTTCTTGGACAATCTAATGGAAGACATAGATGAAGGGGGACATGGTAATGGAATCACATTGATGTCAGATGGACACAAGGTACATATATACACAAATTATCTTTTACAAAAATTGCCTTTTACACAAACTAACATTCCAAATCAATGCAGGGTATAATGGAGGCTGTGAAAGAAAGATGTCCAGAAGTTGAGCATAGGTTGTGTGCTAGGCACATCCTTGCTAACTTCCATAAAAAGTTTAAGGGTGAGTGCTACATTAAACCTTATTGGAGGGCTGTAAAGGCAACTACAATTCAAAAATTTGAACTTGCAATGGAAGAGATCAAAAGCTTTGATGTAGGGGCATATGATTATCTCATTAAAAGGGACCCCAACTGTTGGTCAAGGGCTTTTTTTAAGGTGGGAATGGGATGTGATGCAATGGAAAATGGTGTTTCTGAGAGCTTCAATGCTGCTATTGAAGAAGCTAGAAAGAAGCCATTGATCACTATGTTGGAGGACATAAGGGTATTTGTGATGGAGAGATTGTACATGCAGAAAGGGAAAGGATTGGGCTGGAATTTAGCAATCTGTCCAAATATCAGAAGGAAGCTTGGTGAATTAAAGAAGTTGAGAAGGTTAGTTGTTACAAACACTTTTACTTACTTTTTGTACATGCAATTGATAACTAACTTTTTGTATTGACAGATTCTAGGCACCATATGTTAGTGGATACAAACAGTTTGAAGTTGTGCAATGTAATGAAAGGTATGGTGTTGACTTGGAGAAGAGAGAATGTGGATGCAGAGGTTGGCAATTGACATGAATTCCTTGTGTACATGCCATATGTGCCATATCTTCTTTGAATCTTGATTCAGAGGAATATGTTGCAGAGTGGTTTACTAAATCTGCATTTCTTAGGGCCTATGAGTACACCATACATCCCCTGAATGATAGTTCCTTGTGGCCCCACATGCCTGATGTTCGCCAGATACTACCTCCAATTAGGAGGAGGTTACCTGGTAGGCCATGTGTGAAAAGAAAAAGAGACCAAGCAGAAAATGAACTTAGTGGGAATACAAGGCATATTATAAGCAGGGCAGGTGTTCAACACAGATGCACAATTGGTAATGAAACTGGACACAACAAAGCTACATGTCCAATGAGGGGTCCTTCTGAAGCAGGTCCAAGTAAAGCAAGAAAGAAGATTAATGCAAAAAATTGTCCTTCACAAGCAGATCCAAGCACTCCAGCTCCAAGTGCTCCAACACATGTCAATCAAGATCCTTTGACTGAAGAGCATTTCCCTGTAAATCAAGAGCTTGTCATTCAAGAGCATGTCCCTGTGAATCAAGAGCCTGTCATTCAAGAGAATGTCCCTGTGAATAAAGAGCATGTGAATGAAGATCCTGTGAATCAAGTTCCTGTGAATGAAGTACCTATCAACCAATATCATGTGAATCCAATACCTGTTAACCAAGTGCCTGTGAATCTTGGTGTTAGAGTGCCTAAGAGCCTTGGTGTTAGAGCAAGGAAGCCTTCAGAGAGAATCAACAAGATACAAATCAGGAAGCAGGTTTTTCGAAAGGATGGCAAAGGAGTGACTGAGGACAACCCAGTTACTTTAGAGTGATTAGGGTTACTTGTTTTCTTTTGCTTTGGAAGTATGTAATAGTACACTATGTATGGTGAATTTCTTTTGTTAATTGGGCCAACTTTTGATGTAATTAACAATACTGCCCTTGCTTGTAACCTGTCAACTTTTGATGGCCTTTAAGTAATGGAATCGGATATGGTATCCTATGTCAATTGTGTTTTGTCTTTTTCAATCTTTATTGGTATTAATGCATTAGTTTATTAAGAAGGTTATAATGGGAATCATATGTCAATTGTCTACTGGGAATCATATTTGTTTCTATCAATGTCCTTGTCTTTTGGTTGTTGAAATTGCAGACAAATTCAATTATCATTGTCCTTGTCTTTTGGTTGTTGAAATTGCAGCCAAATTCAATGTAAATTACAATCAAATGTGTACCATGTAACACTTCATTCAATATGCAAACTCCATTCAATACATTCAATACAAACCATTCAATACATTACATATAAACCATTCAATCCCTACATTCAAACTACCACAATTCAATACATTATACCAAACTCTATTCAACTGTTTTCAGATAATATTACAACTGATTGCTACCCTATAACTATGTGCTTTATTCTTTAGCTCTTGAACTTCTTTCTTCAAACATGCAACATCCTCTTTAACTGCTTCAAGTTCTTGTTCTAAATCTGGATTCCCAGTCACAGGTTCATCAATCCATTCCCAATACTTACACTTCTTACTTGGTTTCTTCGAAATCAAATATAAAGATGGTAAGAAGCTCAAAATCTTTATTTATTAGAAGGAAAATCAAAAGTACAGAGGGAAATCAAGATCGACATACCAGAGAATTGGGGCAAACTTTGAACTTTTTGTTAGGGTTGTCTTTAGTCTTGGATGTGCATATTCGAACTGGGAGTCGACAATCACAAAGCACCTCTTTCTTTGCAATGGATCCAGATGAACTGGGAGTCGACATCTTCTTCTTCGATTTTGGGTATGGGTTCGAAATGTTTTTTGATTCAAGTTAGGGCTAGGCATCGTATTATAATCAATGGAACTCAGAGATGATCCACGTAGGAGTGTTTACTTTTAATGAGTGTCCACATAGGCAGCCATGTCAGCAAATATGACATCAACCGGTAATAAGGACTTAATCTATACACAACAACAAGTTCAAGGGTAAAATGTGGACAAAAAAAAGTCAGGGATTAAATGTGTACAAAACCAATAATATGTTACCCTTTTAAGTCATTATCCCTTTATTTTATCATGGTAACATAATCTAATACAGGGCCTTTACCCGGTTCCCGAGTTTATCAAAAGAAAAAAAAAAGAGTAAAGAAAAGAAAAAAAAAGAAAGAGAAATAAAGGAAAAACATTTTTTTTTGTGTTCCCTTGGAGAGAAGTGGAAGAAAAATGAATCATTTTGTTCTTTCTTTCCAAATCTTTCCAAATCGGAAGGAAAATTAGGAGGGAAAGTGATCATTCATTTCCCTCCACTTCCTCCCTTTAATGAAACTCGGGAACACCAATTTCTTTTATTTTCTCTCGTTACGGTGAACTCGGGAACGAGAATTACTGAAACTAGGTGTGATACCCGTATCTTATACGGGTTTGATAAAACAAAAAATTAAATATAAAAGTTTAAACAAAAATTTATTTAAATTTGAAATTTTAGATTTGAAATTTAAAATCTAAAATGAAACATATTAAATACTATATGAGTAATATTGTAATTTATTGGTTATTTTTAATTAAGACAATTATTAATTGAGGTGTAAATATGACGTGTTAGTTAAGAAAATATAAAAAAAATGAGAAAAATGACAAATGGAAAAAACATTTAATCAAAAATACCAAAAAATGATATGTGTCCAAATTAATGAGAGGGTGACATGTGACAAAATTATTTTCATTTATTAGGGAGGATTAGACGAGTTATTTAACTTACGGTTAATTGCATAGAAGATATTACATATATATATATATTTTTGAATTTGAACAGTTTTATTTTGTTTACAATTAAGATATTAAGTTTTTAAAAATAGTAAATTTAGCACTATATTTTTCAATTTGTTTCAATGTTTGCGTGTAGGTCTTTAATGACGTGGTGCTGACATGAGATGATGAAATAATTTTTTTGATGACGTCACGTTATGGGTGTCAAAATTGAAAAATTAAATAAAATTGAAGCCATGTAAATCTTCTACTATTATCTATTGTCCATACCTTTACTCGATTTTTCATACGAGTGATCTTTTTCAAAGATAACATACCATCATTTATTTATTCCATAATAAAGTGACGTTTCATCTAAATGAGTGTTTTTTTTTCCTATTGTGAAACATCGGTTTCTTCGTTAGATGGTCTACAGTCTAGTTGTCATAATGAAGAGCACATTTTTCTTGTTTCATGCATAAATTTTATAGGAAGTTCTTCAACCATATGAGTTCACAAAGGTGTATTTTTGGCCTTTACATCCTTCATACTGAACTTATATAACACTTTCCTAATGAACTCTTCATGGGAATGTTTAGAGTAGCTCTTGCTCAATAACACTATCATTATGCTCATGCCAAGTAGTTTTATATTTTGCTAAGTGCATTATCGATTAGTTTAGTTATGTTTATTGCAGATTGTCATTAATTAGTAAACAAGTTAAATAGATTGAACACCATATGTTCAAATCACTTTATTCAAAAAAAGTTAAATTATAGCTTTAATACGTACATATACTTTTGTTAGCATATTTAATACATTAGTCATTAAGTATTTGACAAAAAAATATGTCAAATATTTTATAACATGGTCGACCTATTATGACTCGTGATTTATCTTTACCAAACTCATTTCATCTTCACCACCTAGCAGAATTCTGCTCTTAGCCATTACACAAAAGAAGCAAATTAGATTTTCAACCAGTGCAAATTGCTACTTTGTTTTCATCCATGCATGTTTGTGTCGGCAATAATTAAGTATGTGAAAATTTTATAAGTGAGTTATCGAGTTGAAGCATAGACATGACATAACTTGCTCTGATCTCCCCATATTAGTGGTGAAACACCCATGAATGCCGTTTACCAATTACCAATCTTTTTTGTACTTTGTTATAGAATATAGATTGTATTTATACGAAGTGGAGAAATAAGTCCACCAAAGTACAATGTTATGACCACAAGAATAACTTTGAAGTGACCTCTTATTCATCAACAATGGCAATTATAACTTGGCATCATGAATTGCTAAGATACAACGTAACAACTATCATGATCAACCAAAAGCCACTACACAAGCCTCAAGCCAAATCAACATCAACAACTTTGGAGGTCTTAACACCAACACGTGTAGTGTTGCTCTGTTCTTCGATTCCCAACCACTTGCGTATGTATTCAAATACAGTTTCATCTCTTAATAGTGTCCTATGAGCACAAGGAATTCCCACCCTTTCTATTGCTGGAAATCCATCTGCCTGTTCATATAAACCATAGTTCAGTTGATGACACAAATCACAATCTTTTGGTTGCATTTGTTAAATGTCAGGCAAATACACACATTACATATGACATAAGGTAGGAATAGTACCATTGCTGACTCAGCGGGAACTGTTGCATCTCCATCCACATAAGAGTATTCAGGCTGCAAAAGGTAAAAAGAAAATGAGCATTCATGTTAAAAATTTAGATAAAAATGTTCCAGGAGAAAGAAGGTGAAGGCCAGACTTGAACATGAGACCTCACTTACGGATTCTTACCTTTTAACTGCTGGTGCAAGCATGTAGGGGCAAGTACACAACATATGTCAGATGGTTGATTGAAGGATTTGGACTACTTACCAATGAGTGGCATATCTCAGATGGATCATTAATTGGATCAGTTTCCGAACCATAACTGCAAAATAGTATTCATTTGAGCACAAAAAAGTTATCAATCACAAAGCACAGTATACATCATAATCATGGATCTAGTAGTTTTATAGTGTGATAAAAGGAATGGAGCGTAGTGCTAAAAAATTACAAGTCCAATACAAAAAAGGGTTTAAATGCTTGTTTATGTAGTGGAGTTTCACCTTTTTCCCAATTTATACAACAAAAGTGTTTTTTTAGACACAAGCACATTTCATTCTATATAAGTTGAAAATATATAACAACTCAAGTGTAACCTGCTTTTTAACCGGTTAAAACGTGATTGCATGACCTGTGCCAGTTGCCCAAACTTTCAAAAGTGAAGCATTGTCACATAAATTCTTTAAAAAAAGGGCAAATGTCAGGAAAACTTAACCTGTATATTATAGGCATTTTATTGAAAAACCCCTATATTAAATTCTCTGACTGTTTTATATCTCCCATTATTTGAAACCGTCTAATTGCATTTTCTTAAGGGAATTTTCAATACGATGTCTATAATAAGTTGTGCATTCCAAAACATTTAATATACGGTTTTTTCCGTATGGATTAAAAAAATGGGAATTTAAATTTAAATGGTCAAGAATTTAATATGGGTTAATTTTTCCCAGTAAGATGCCTGTAATAGGCTGTGCTTTTCTTATTATTATTTTTTTTAAAAAAAAAGGAAACATTGTAGGGTAAAAAAAAGAAACATTGTTGCTTAGGTAAACGTTTAACGACTTCATAACCTACCAAACATCGAAAGGGGTATCCAATGATGTTCCATAAATGTTATAAAAATCAATCCCTTCGGGGAGCTGCACACTGTTTAGCATCTTGCGTGTAGTGGCTGCCCATTTGTAGATGGACAAATTGAATGGCAAAGGTATTGTCTTCTTGTTGTACTCTATCTGTCATAGTTGAATAACTGAAGTTTAGATTAATCACTCACATGACATGCATGCAAAAGTCATATGTTGACTCGTTTTTGGGACATATATAAATTACCTCATTGTCCTTCAATGCTTCTTCAAACAGCCCCACACAACCAAATGGGTCATAAGTTTCCAGTCTGGCTGAATCTTGTCCATTTTCTGAACGGTTTCTCCAAACCACAATTTCAGGTTGTTTTTTCCATTGAAACTCAGGATTAGGAAGCATTTCATATATTGATGGGCATTCCACCAACTGAAAACACAAAAGGAGAGAACTGAATCGCCTTCATTTTTTTAAGCTAATTTTTTGTTTCAATTGTAATGATACTTTAACAACAGATGAATGTCATAAAACATTACTAGTTGATGCATTGACCACCTAGACACAAAGAAGTAGCTTTCAAGTCCCTCAACAAACTGTAACCCGGTTAAGAGAGAATCATTGATGTATCCGGGTGCACCTTGGAAAGGGGTTGCAATACTTATCCACTTATTCACATACTTGGAAAATACCTATATATATATAGCAAGTGGATCACATGTCATGGGATATATTAATTCATCACATATCATATATGTCTAATGAACAAGTAATTAATTAATAAACATGTCATTAATTGGGTTTATTTTCATACATCAGAATGGAGTGATATGAAACATGATACTAGCAACCCACCCATGGAGTGTGATATAAGGTTGACTTTTCTACCCCCTGAAGCTTTATATGCAGTCTCTAGCTTTTCCTTAAGACCATCCATTGCCTGGTCAGTTCTGCCAACAATACATGACACTCGGTCACTGCCATGCTTGTTGTTTTATTTTGAATTTTTTGAAACGTTCAGTTACTACTACTAAAAGGTAAAATTATATATGTACGTACCTATTACTTTGGCGGAAGTCATATCCATATCCAAACAATGTGGTTCCTTTCTTGTATCCACACTTAATAAGCATATCAATCATGTCATGAAAGTAGTATACGTCCGTCACTTGTAAACATTTTATCAACTGAAAAGCCAAAATATACGAGAATTTATATTACTATACAAGGCAGTACTTATTCTTGTATGCATTTGATAAAAGAAAGAATGAATAAGATTAAAAAACAAGTTCTCTTCTTTATCATGCTACTAGACTTAAGTACCAATGAGGGATCCAAAATATCGATAGCATAAAGCCCATAATCATCTTGCGGAACCACAATATCAGAACGATCATCCAATGCTTCCGTGTAGCCTGAAAATCCAAGACGAACAGAATTTCCAAACTTAATATTTACAAATTTCATCGCTATATCTTGATTAGCATAACTAATTTTATTTGACCAATACAGCCATATATGCATCTGTTGTTATGAAATAAGTAACAATTCACCTGCGAGCTATCTATCCATCCCCCATAACATATAAAGAACCCATAAACAATCCATTAAGACGCAAATGTACCACCATGCAATTAACAGACAAAGATACCATCTTGATAGTATAGCTTATGAAACGTTTGACAAATTAAGGCCATTATATATATTACAGTATATAATAAAAAAAGATTTTATCGAGAAAGAGAATGAACCAGTGTCGGGATTATAGAGGGACCAGGCTCTCTTTCGGAACTCCATATCAGCAAGAAGGATACGGACCCAAATACGGGTCGTGAGCCCGAAGCAGCTCTTTAGCTTCGAATTAAGAATAGTCCCGCCTATGCCACTCACCAGAAGTATCGGGTCAAAATCAGCCACATCGTCACCGGAGCTCTGATTACCGAAGCACCACCGTTTTCCACCCACCATTTCTTAATTCTTCCTCCTCCTCCTTCTCGAAGTGTACCACGTTCCGTGAATAGTTGGAGTTTCTAGAGAAGTAGTAATTTAGATTATTTATTATATACAGTTGATCAAGAAAAGAAAGGAAAGTCGGAAATTGTAGCCGGAAGATTTGCGATAAGTATTATAATTTAATCCTAATATAATATTCGGTTTTAATATTCTTCTGGATTCATCGATATACGTCTTCTTCACCCTCCTTTTATACTTTCCCCATACTGAAAACTCATACTATATCTTAAAATTAAACGTATTTGCTACATTTTTACCGTTTTCCATCTTTTTCGTTTAAATGTAAAAATTAATAGTATACTCTTACTTTATTCAATTCCTTATCATACTCTGTTTCTTTCTTTAAATTTTAAAACACTCACAAAATAAAGAAAACATAACCTTTTTTTATTTTTATTTTTATTATTTTTTTTATTTTTTATCGTCCATCTATCGCATCCATTTTTTATAGCGATTAAATTGTTATAATCGTTCAACACGTTTATGCTTTTCAATCATATTTCTTAATAATCAAAGGTAACTTTAAATGTCTCAGAATTTGGTTTTCTTTCAAATGAAAGATTCATACTCAAAGCAATGTGTGAATACTTTATTTTTTGGGAGAATTTTCTATATGCCCTTTCTAAACAGCTAAATATCGTATTTGCCCGGCCTAAACTTCAAATATCGTATTTACCCTTCCTAATGTTTTTTAATATCATATATAACCAAATCTATTTTTTTGGTAATTTTTATTGATTTATAATTGTTTTTCATAATATTAAATCATTATAATTAAAATACAATTTGAATGGACAATATTGCCCCTGCTTGCTAACGCCTGACAAATAAGGTTTTCTCCCCATATCACGATCGAACCTTCCCTGCCTATACTTCCGATCGTTGCTTACAATCGATCGATGTTTCCCCTGTTGTCCGCGCGCACACACACATCAGGTAAATAATATGTGATTCCATTCCCTTTCCTCAATTTCGATTATATTGTTGTTTGATTTGTTCAACAAGAACTCAAAAAGACTAACATATTCTAAACCTGATTGAAAGCTCTTAGGTACAGTATGCTGAAAATCCTTAATTACCAGCTACAAAGATTCCCCCAAAAATCAATCAGATGCTCAACCTGTCAAGTAATTAATTTTCTTCAATCAAGGATACATTAATTTTAAAAACCATTTTAAGTGATTGATATAAAATAAGATGAACTTCAATTCATCAGAAACTGATACTACGTATCATATACTATACCTGATCGGGGTTAATTTCAAATGAATGAGCTTCTTTTTCTTCAGCTGCAGCTGCCAACTGTGCTTCTGTTAGCAGTTCCTGATGTCTACCTTCAACTTCACCTACTAATCTACAAACAGCAAACCCATCGCCACCCTGAAGGTGAGAATATACAGAATGATCAAGATCAATCCCTCATATAAAACAACATAAAAAGAGGAACAATAATAATAATAATAATAATAATAATAATAATAATAATAATAATAATAATAATAATAATAATAATAATAACTGCAACCTGTTTTGAAATCTTTGCTCGAGATATGACTTCAATCCTACAAATTTGGTGAATGGTGAGCCTGCGTAGTTTATTTCCAAGGGGTAATTTAGTCACGTGAGTGTGTGTGACACGGGGGAAGCAGCGATCGGAAGTATTAGACAGCAACAACCTCAATCGTGATTAACTTCAAACATATGATGCGTGAACGTGATGCAATAACAGGTGAAGACAGCTACGATTGGAACTACAACAGGTTTACCTGATGTGTGTGTGTGCGCGCGCGACAACAAATGAATGATCGGAAGCAAAGATCGGAAGTATAGGCAGGGAAGGTTCGATCGTGATATGGGGAGAAAACCTTATCTGTTAGGCGTTAGCAAGCAGGGGCAATATTGTCCATTCAAATTGTATTTTAGTTATAATGATTTAATATTATGAAAAACAATTATAAATCAATAAAAATTACCAAAAAAATAGATTTGGGTATATATGATAATAAAAAACATTAGGAAGGGTAAATACGATATTTGAAGTTTAGGCCGGACAAATACGATATTTAGCTTTTTAGGAAGGGCATATACGAAATTCTCCCTTATTTTTTTTATATGTATAAATGTTAATACAACTTTATTTCTATTATTGTTAACTTAATATAAAATCGTCATAATAAATAAAGAACTTTTTGACACTTGTCAATTTCTTATGCATTTGGACACATATAATTTTGTGGTTAATTCTTATAAATTAATTTTCACTTGTCATTTTGTGGTAGTTTTTGATTTTCTTAATTATCTAATTTTTAGGTTATAGAAAATAATTAATGTGTCGTTAATTTGTTTCCTTATATTTTCAAATTTTAATATTTTCTTTCAATATATTTAATTCAAAACTGACATGTTTCTTTTAAAGTTCATTGTCATTTTAGACAAAATGGTCTATATAAAAAAAATAGTCAAACTTTGTTGTTTTTTATTGAGAAACTAAAAAAAATGTTATATGATCAAAATATAATTATTTTTCTGTAGTTTGTTTTATTAATATAAATTGAATTATTTATTTATTCATCATTTTGTTTGTATATATATTTTGAAAGTTTATTTTAAAAAATACTTAATGTTTACACTTTAATATTTAATGTTTTCTTTAAAAAAATATTTAAAATTTATATCTTCATATATAATTTTTTTAATCAACCCGTGTAATACACGAGTTTCACACCTAGTTACATCAATAAATCACAGTAATAAAACACTAAAGAGGACAAAATATAGAAATAATCAATATACTTTTACCACTTTATCCATGAACTTGTCGAAATTGGAAAACTCTTATATTCAAAAAAATAAGAATTACAATAAAAGGAGCAACTCTCACATTCAACTATTATAAAAACCCAACCCACTATCTAACACTCTCACTCTAAGTGTTTTACTTAAACTCTCTCAATTTGGGATGCCTCACAATTAAAGATAAAGCCTCTATTTATACCCATGGCAGCCATCATTTGTACAACCTTCATTATGTTGAGTGACAACAAAACAAGTTAAGCACTTCAAACAAAAACAAAACAAACTTAGGTGACCTTGCGGAAATAAAACTTCTGAAAAAGTAATCAATTGAACACAATATTTAACATGGTTCGGTCAAGGTGACCTACATCCACGGGAGAACAAGAGAGAGAGAGAGAGAGAGAGAGAGAGAGAGAATTTTATTAACTTCCAAGAACAATTACAATCACACACAAGATTACACCTCCCTTGAGCTCTTAAAACAAAAGAATATCTCTTGCTTACTAACTGCTCCAAATGAGTGCTCTCAACCTCACAATGATTACTCTCTTGAAATTTATGCACACCCATAATAATGGAGATATTAGTCGATTTATACTTGAGGGATCATACCTAAAACCCTAATGGACCAAGCCCATTGGCCCATAGGCCCATGAAATGTGACAACCAATCATATCATGCCATGCAACATCTTCTGGAACATTCTTCCATGTCATGCAAGTAATGAGCATCAACAATACACATGATGGACCACCTTGACCATAGTGGAGCATCATGATGCATAGGTGGCGTATCATGAACACTAATGGTCCAACATCCATCATGGTGGCACAACATGGTGTAATTCTCGAGCAATACCAACTTCTGAGCATCCTTGAATGATCTTGAGCATCATAGAGGACTTCATAGCATACTTGGCTTATCAGGGATACCATGGCTCATCAAGGAACCAAAATGGCCCATCTTGCACCATGATGGCGCAACATGTGCAAGGAAGGCGCAACATGCATCAAGTATGGCGCAAGAACTTCTAGGTTGGAGCGACATCACCATCTTAGCACAACAACAACATGCATGACACAACAAGGCCATGCTTAGCGCAACAACATACTCCATGGAACAATAAGAGTACCTCATGACGCAAGAGGGAGTATCTTGGTGCAAGAAGGAGTGCCCTTGGCGCAACATCATCCTTCTTAGCGTAATTCTTCAGCAGATGGCACAACAAGGTCCCCTTGTTGCTCTATATCACTCCTAAGCAAGGTTCTAAAAAGCTCGTCATGGCTCCACCATGGCGCGCCATGACTCCAAGGCTTGTACCTGCCGCCAAGCTTTATCAAAACGCCGCCTTAACTCATATATGTGTATAAAATAGAATAATAGTTGAATATATATATATATATATATATATATATATATATATATATATATATATAACTAACCACCCGCATTTTATTATAAAATAAAAGTCAACCCATTAAAATAATGCTAAAGGCATTACTAGACAACATCATGGTGTTTACTTACACCTTTAAATAAAATAACCTCTTTCCTATACCTTAAAGATCTCACCCATAACTCTAAAATTCAGCCATCCCATGACCTACAGACCCTAGGACATTCTGCCCTTTAAATACCCCTCCATTTCCACTCTTTCTCTTCTCCATTCAAGATGAAACAAAGCAAAACTCTCTCACTTTCTCTTCTTTTTCTTCTTGGCCGAGAATTGCATCACCACCATCACTCTCCAAATTTCTTCATCTCAAGCTAAATCTCTTGTTTATACAACACACACAACTCAAAACCTTGGAAGGAAGGCTCAAGAACACGGAGATCCAAGCCAAGAACCACCATCTTCAAGTTCGTTTAACCTTTGGACAATAACACAACAAGTGAGTTCATACCCCATTTTCTACTAGTTTTCACTCATTTTACACTTCCGGGGGAGGTTACATGCCATGCTAACAAACTACATTTTGGACAATGACTTTACACAAAGGTCATAGATCTAATATATGCTGGATAAAACTTTTAACATTTGGATAATACTACATTATACAAGATTATATCCTATTTATAAGAGTATATTTACACATATTAGTATTTTCAAATGAAGTATACAAGTTTTACTCTCTTATATGCATGTTAGATAAGATTTCTAAGTCTAGATCTAATATATGTTGGATGAAACTTTTAACCTTTGGGTAATACTACATCATACATGTTTATGCTCTACTTATCAAAATATATACATACATTTATATTTTCAATGGAAGTACACAAGTTTCGTTCCTTCATATGCATAATTTTCTCAGTTTAGATCTATTTTATGATGGATAATACCTTTACCCATTGTA